CTTCGCGCGTCGGCAGGTCCCAAGGCTGCGGGTCTTGCTATGGGCTTGTCCCTCAAAGAAGGGCTTCGCGCGTCGGCAGGTCCCTAGGCTGAAGGTCTTTTAGGACTTAGGACACATTCATTCAATCATCTGAGGTGAAGAGGAACTTTTTGCTTCATTCATTCATCATTTAGCCATATGTAACTACATTCATTGGAAATATATTTGGAGGTTCTCCGAGTTCCATGTTTGGGGGACGTGTCTTCCATCCAAATGTTCCAAGTAGAAAGTACCGGGGCCGAGGATTGGCTTGATCCTATAGGGGCCTCCTAGTTGGAGCCCAACTTTCCTACTCCGGGTTCGGGGACCATGGCTTTTGTAAGGACGAGGTCCCCTTCCCGGAAGCATCTTTCTTTTACTTTCAAGTTATAGTAGCGGGCCACGCGTTGCTGGTAAGCGGCTACCCTGATCTGTGCCTGCTCTCGGGCTTCCTCCAATAGATCTAGGTTGGCTATGAGTCCGCTTCGCTATAGGCCTCGACTCGGAGCATCGGCTGGCCGATCTCTACAGGTATTACCGCTTTGGTATCATAGGCAGACTGAAGGGAGTTTCTCCCGTTTTCATTCGAGGTGTGGTTCGGTATGCCCAGAGTACACTGTTCTGTTCATCGGTTCATAAGCCTTTAGCTCGGTATAGCCTCGTCTTCAGTCTGTATAGGATGGTTCTATTGGTGACCTCGGCTAGGCCATTAGTTTGGGGGTAGCCCACCAAGCTGTACTGTTGTTTGATGCCAAGGAAAGCACACCATTCTTGGAATTTGACGTCATCAAACTACTTCCCATTGTCGGTGACTAGAATGTGGGGGAGGGCGAAGCGACAGATGATGTTTTTCTCGAAGAAGTTTTGGATTGCCCAAGCCGTGGTAGTGGCTAAGGGCTCGGCTTCGACCCACTTCGTGAAGTAGTCCACGGCGACGACAAGGTACTTCCTGCCCCCCGTCGCTTGTGGAAAAGGGCCAAGGAGGTCCATTCCCCACTTAGAGAAGGGCCAAGGGCTGCTTAGGGATGAGAGTGTTGTTGTAGGCTAATGGCATATGCTGGCATGCCTCTGGCATTGATCACATCTTTGCAGAAGTTCAACTGCGTTTTTGTGAAGTGTTGGTAAAAAATATCCCTACCTCAACGTCTTCTGGGCCAGGGCCTTGCCGCCGAGGTGGTTTCCGTAGATGCCTTTATGATTTCCCTGAGCACGTAATCCCCCTCCTTGGGGCGAAGCCATCAGAGGTAGGGCAAGGTGAAGGATCTTTTATACAACTTTCCTTTGAGCAATGTATAGTGGGCTACCTGACGTTGGAGTTGTCTAGCTTCATTCTTGTCGTCGGGCAATTGTTCTTTAAGGAGGAAGTTGATGATAGGGGTCCTTCCATGATGTCTCGGCCCCTATTGGTAGTATTTGAGTTTCTTCAATGGTCGGCTGAGATAGCTTCTCTACACAAACAATACTGCCAAGGACCGTGCTCGAGGTGCTTGCTAACTTGGGCAGGGCATAAGCCCTCACGTTTTCCGCTTGTGGGACTTGCTACAGGGTGAAGGGCTGGAAGTGGCAGGCTAGTTCTTTGACTTTGGCAAGGTACTTAGACATGTTTTGTTCTCTGGCTTCGTACTCGCCGTTCACATGGTTGACCATCAGGTGGGAGTCGCTGAAGGCTTCGATGTATGACGAGCCAAGGTCCTTGGCCAGTTGTAGTCCGACAAGGAGGGCCTCGTACTCGGCTTCGTTGTTGGGTGCCGGAAAGTCAAATCTCAATGCATATTCGATGGTTGAATTATCCAGGGTGAGAAGGATAAGGCCAGTGCCGCTTCCTTTGGTATTAGATGACCCATCCACAAAAAGCTTCTAGGCAGGAGGGGTGTCTCTGGCGGGGCGCCCATTTCTTGATTCATCTTCTAGGGCCCGAGGGAGAGATCAGTTGAAGATGCACTCCATCATGAAATTTGGGAGGGCTTGTGCTTTGATGGTGGGCCTTGGAGGACTTCTTGTACACCTCTACCGCCTCGGCCACTGCTTTCTTTGATTGATCCACCGAGGCCATGGCTTCAGCAGCCTTCTTCTCGGCCTTGGCTTCCCGTTTCTCTGCTTCAATGGCGATGCTCTCTAGCCGGACCCAGTCCATTAGTTGCTTGGAGAGTCCTTGCCACGCCTCCTTCAGCTGAGTCTCGAGGCACTCCCAAACTGATTGCTTGTCGAGGAACGCCTTTCGAAACTTCTAATAGTTGTCCTCGGCCAAGTGATGCTGGCCCTCGTCGTAGATGGCCTTGGGGTCGCTCTGCAGTAGGCGATAGCGATCCCTCGGTAGGATGGCCCCGGTCACCAGCTCCTGGATGACCCCCTCATCCTGAATGGAATCCCCTTCTTGGAGTTGCCACTGCGGGCGGAAGATCTTTGTGGCCCCCTCGGCTCTCTTGGGGTGCCCCTATACTGATGGAGGGGCTGATGAAGGCCCGAATGGGCACTTCCCGGGCGTGGACCTCTACACCACCTCCTCGGTCTGTCTCTTTGTATTGGCCACCTTCTGCAGTGGATCCTCTCTCGGTGTATCTATTGTGGACCTCTTCTTACTTGCCTCGGACCCGTCTGTGGGCTTCTTCGACGCCTCGTTCCCGGTAGTTGGCTCTTTCGGTGCCTCCGTTAGCTTTTTGGCCCCCTCCAAGGGCCTCTTCACCCCACTAGTGACTTCCTGGGGTGTCACCACCGGTTTCTTCCCCTTAGCGGGGACTTGCGGATTTCCCCCCTTTGCCGGGCCGCTTCGGCATTTGTCCCCCGACTTTCTTGCCGGCATGCTTCGCCCGGGCCTTCTCCAACAAATGCTGCTTGGCGTCCATGGACACTTTTGCAAAATACCAAAAGAAAACAATTAGTACATCAAAGCGAAAAACGTAAAAGATGTACTGAGTAACCATAAAACCTCTCCTACCAAGGGGGACTGGCTTAATCCCAATGAAGACTAGGGGGACCTCCTCCTCCACCAATGGCTTCGCCTAGAATGTCCCCATCACAAGCAAGTGAACTAAGTTGCAGCCTCTTCACATTGGAACGGTGGGGGACATCTCTTGGCGGTGACTCAGGCCTGCCCCCAGTCAGACTTGAACCGCCAGCCCTTGGGGCAGGAGACGTAGAAGAATTTGTCCTTCCACCTATGGATGGACGAGGGTTATGCATAGGCTTCCCCCTCCGAGGGCGGAAGTAATACATGTTGGCCTCGGAAGCGTGCTTTCGAGGCACGGACATGGCACAGAACATCCTCAATGTCATCTCCACACCCCTGAGCCGAGTCCACACTATCATCGCTACGATTGTCCTAAGGGCGTTGGGTACAAGTTAACTGATAGTGATACCGTACCACTCCAACAAATCAGAGATTAAAGAAGGGAGGGGAAACCTAAGGCGAGACTCGAAAAAATGCTGGTAGACACAGATTTCCCCCTCCTCGGGGGTCCACGGCCGATCGCCCACATTGAGGACCCTCAAGTCATAAGACCGGGGTATGTGGAACCTCCTCGCTAGGGATTTGACCTGGCCCACACCAAGGAGTTGTCAAACTCCGAACACGGAACACCAGCGTCAGCCACCCTTCGGGCAGCCGCCCACTGGCTCGATGACAACTTCCACGACATCCTCCTTAGAGAAAGGAGACCCTTCAGTCTCTCTCAGCGATGTTGATGCGACACTTTCATGGGGAGAGTTATTCCCCTAGTGGCTTCCCTCGGAACCCCCCGAGGCTAACCTTTCCCTCAGTACAACCACCTCTCGCCGAAGGGGGGCTACGGCTAAGGAACCTAGAGAAGATAGAGGGGAAGGGGTTGCAAGGGAGCTCCCTCCCGAGGTGTTTGGGAATTCATGGCATTCAAGGCCGGAGTCTGAAAATGACATAATCAATTACCTAAGTGAAGACGAAATGTCTTGGAGAATGGAGGAACTGGGAAAGTCTTAGAGGATTGAGAGTTGAGGAGCTGAGTTCACTCGATAGCAAGGGCGTCTAAGTTCAAATGAAAGGGAAAGTCACCACCAGGGCCCCTATTTAAAGGAAAATGGACGGCTTGGATCTCATTGAATTCGACGGCTGAGACATCTCCGCTTCCACCATCCAACTACAATGCGCCACCCGGCACTCGTCCTTGGAAGGCAAAACGATGCCCAAACAACGGTTCAGATCAACACGAGTCCAACGGTTACGGGAACCCTCGTATGGCCCTCATCTAGTGCGTTCATCTTCACCTACCTCCAGCCCTCTCATGTATAAATAAGAGGTAATTCCCCCTTAATGGGGGGGCAGAACTTGGGATTCTGACGCAACTCCCTCATTTATTTTCCGCACCTACCTTGTTTCCTTAGCATTTACTCTTGGAGACCCAGTGTATTCGAGGACTGTCACCAAGACCTCATTTGCACCCCCTCCTACTTTACACCTCATATTGACTTGAGCGTCAGAGCCTCCACCTCGGATCTCCACCCGTGGCTTCTAACACTTCCTGTTTTGTAGTACCTCAGATCTCCAGGAACCTTGCCCCCAGAGTGACGACTTATAGTCCTCAGCTTCTATGGTCCTCAGAAGGAATATCTCGCATCGGCCTAAGGTCTTTGGCCTCGACTTACCTCTTCCAAGGCCTCAAAGTCTTTGGCCTACTCTCGGAACTTAGAGAGTAAATTTACCTTGTTGACCTCAGCTAATCCATGCAGCAACAATACCGGTTCTATTTCGGCCCCAAATCGTTTTTTTCCTTAAAGCTGTTGGTTAGTGGTCTGCTGACCCAGGTGTTCAAACCGTTGATTTGTTTGACTCAAATGGCGGTTTTCAGCCAATTGTTGTATTTTAATTATTTATATTTTTGAATTTTTAAAAATCACAAGCTAATCCATTTAGAATCGACGGTCAAACCACTGACCCGAAAACCGGTGGCCAAAGCAGTTCCGGTTTCGGGTTGTTTTTTACAAATGGGTAGATGGTAGTTGGGGTTAGGCCATAGGAGAATGGTTATGGTGGTTGAGCACTATTTCTTCTTTGGGTGTAGGGCCTCTAAACATAGAAAGGAGTACAGATGACTCCCCATTTCTATTGGTGTTTGCTTCGTTGACACACTACACATAAAAATAATAGTCGGGAGGGCAGAAGAGCACCAAAACGGAAAGGAAGAGCAAGGCAGCAGAGACCCAGCATGTACAGGGACGTATCAGCTTGTAACACTTACAACTATGGAGATGCCCTGTACTGGAACTCCCGGTACGTGCAAGAGGCCGGGTCCTTCGATTGGTACCAGCGTTACTCGGCTTTGCGCCCCTTTGCACGCAAATATATCCCCACCTCTTCTCGTGTCCTCATGGTTGGCTGCGGCAATGCTGGTATTTCCTCATCCCTTTCCAAAATTAAAGCTTGATAGGAAAAGGGCTTCCTTTTCTGGTTTGTCCATTGAAAGCACGACGATGTTAGGGTTTTCAGAGAAAACGGTGCCACTCAGAGTGGGTGATTGTAGGTTTTCCATGACTGTCTCTGAACAATAGTGTATAATTTTTGTGCTTTGGGACTGGGAGAGCCAATTCCAGAATCCAGGCATGGGGTCCGTCTCTTCAGGTCATCAGTTTTGTGACATTTATAGATAATCCGGTATTTGGGTATTGTCTTGTCATGGTGGGGTTTTGAAAAGGAGCTTCCTTTTGGGCTGTGGGTCGTAAAGGGTTATTCTTTTTCTTTTCCTTTTCTCGGTTGAAGTTTATATTGATTTTATTAGTTGTCTATGAAACAATAGCACTGGATATATGTACTCTGGTACTTAGATTTCAAATATGGATATTGTCTTCTTTTAGTTGGTCACTATTGTTGGGACATGTATAGAATTTGGCTATTTCATGGTGAGTTTCTAAAAAGAAGAGGTTTTTTAGGGTCAACCACAATACCTATTTGTGTTTTTCACACAATTTCCCATTTTATATTTCCATTATTTTCTTTTCCTGGTACTGAATTTTGGGGTTTGAGTTAAGAAAGTGAAGAATATAGGTTTCTATGTTATTATTTTGACTAACTCCCCTTCTTGTGAAAGTCGGCTGATTTTTCCTTGTTGAGGAACTAAATCTATCAATTGATTGGAAAATTTGTGCGCCATTCTGTGGAACAATGGGTGATATTGGCGGGGTAGGGGGAAGTGGGAGGGTTCAATGGTCAGATTTCTTAGAAGAGAGCTCAAAAAATGAATGACAAGTTAAACCATAGTAGAACAAATAGAACATTCTTCAAGACTGCATTTGGTAATGTTGGCAGTAAGTTCTAAAGTGTTATGTGATTACTGAAGCCATGGGAATGAATTCAAAGTGCTTGGAACCCAATGTGATTTTCTTTCAAGATATAAAGATAGACTGGTTCTTTTGTCTCTACATGGTTGTTTATGAGTAGAAGATGTTGATATAATAATTTAATTGGTTAAACTTATTAATTTCTTCTATCAATGTGACAATGGCGATTTTTGGCTTATTGAACACTCCTTGTTTTATAGATAATTTTTTTCTTTGTAGGGGGTGATTCGGGTGAATGAACATTCCTGAACTATTTAAACCTGAAAACTCTGATGTTAGCAAAGCCAAAAATATAATGTTTCACATGAAAAAATCTATATTTAATGAAAGAAAAAACAATTCAGAGCTATATGGGATGCTCAGGTTAAAGCAATAAAATAACAAGAAAAGACACTGATAAAAAACAACAATAACAAAATTGATACTACTGGTATCCATATTATTATGAGCACCTGAATTAGTATTGTAATATTGTATCTATCTGATAGACAGGAGTGTTGAGCAAGTGGAACTTTTACTGCATCACAACATTCCATAGATGCACTTTATATAGTGAAAATATTATAGGGAATTTACTTTATTTGTTTAAAAAATTCTGTGAGCACTAGCCAATTGAAGTAACAGGAGAAGACAAAATCCATCTAGTATGCAGTTCCTTGGTCAGTGCTTCATCACATATAATCCAAAGTTGAGGGAGTGGAAGAATCTAAGAAGTTTCCCCAACCTTCTAACCATAGTTGTCAAGGCGAGCCTAGGCGCCCTTGGAGGCTCGCCTCACCCAGTTGCCAAGCAGTTTTGTGCACTGGATTATAAAATACTTTTATATTTTTAATTTTTTGACATTATAATTATAAAATAGACATTATTAAACATTTAAACTAGAACATTCATTTTATGTGTTTATATACTAATTTCGTTTTATTATTTTCTTATTTTGTTAGGGTATAATCAACGCAAACATTGCTAACTGCTGTATTGAACCCATGGTTCAAAGTATCGATACACCTCTGTGTATTGGCAGAGGTGTACTGATACTCCCCCTATTTTTTTTTGTTTATTTGGTTTTCAATTTCGTTTTTAAACATATATATATATATATATATATATTATTTAAAAAAATGGGTCCCCGAAAACACCTGTAAACAGGTATCGGGACCCCAAAGATACAATACAATACACCCGATACGGGGCGTATCGTATCAAAATTTTGATCCTTGATTGAACTCTCAAAAATTTCAAAACCTGAACCAATAAGCAAAGGAAGAACTTAAAATTTTGTCTAATCAACAGATTTTCTTCTTCCACATCTTCTTCTTCCACCTTTTTCTTTTCTTCTTTCCTATAACAGAAGTAGGGGTTCAGCCCCTATATTTTTTGAATTTTCTTTCCTTTGTACTTTTTCTTCTCATAAAATGTTGATTTTGTAGACTTAAACATGAAATTTATACTTCTCTTATGAAAATTATGAATAATTATTAAGGAAAGATGGTTATGGAACTTAGGGAACTACCCTAGGATATATGGTTTTACTTAAAAAAAATCCATTGTCTAGGCGTTGCCTTGGTGCCCGCCTAGGCGTTGCCTTGGCGCCCGCCTAGGCGACAAGGCGACAAGGTGCCTTGAAAACTATGCTTCTAACTAGGGATGCAAATTGGATGTCCAATTTGAAGGATTTCAACTGCATTAAGGCCAGGCCCATTTAGAAATTTAGCAAATATTAATTCAGGCCCACCCAAGTTGTATCCCTATATCTAAAACATAATTTGGTTTGTTTAGAATTTTCTGCTTCTGTTACTGAAGTATTTTAGTGTGGATGGTTCTATTTTACAGTTATGTCAGAAGATATGGTCAAGGATGGGTATGAAGACATAATGAACATTGATATTTCCTCTGTGGTCATTGACATGATGAAAAGGAAGTATGGGTATATACCTCAGCTAAAATGTATCCTTACTAGAAAAAGTTCTTCACTAGTTTTGTACTGTGAAAATCTAAACCTTAAAAAATTTCTTCCATGAAAGGCAAATTTCTTTTTTTCTTGAATCTCCTTTATTCATATCGATAGACATGCAAATGGATGTTAGAGATATGAGCTTCTTTTCAGATGAATCGTTTCACAGTGTCATTGATAAAGGTAGTGGATCTGGTCTTGTTATTGCCCATGCTTTATGTAAATCTAAGAAGTTTTAAGCTGCAAACTGATGCTTCTTTGTTTCTCATGCTGAATTTACTCATCATCCTGCTGATACTGTTTAGGAACTCTTGATTCTTTGATGGTAAGACCTTTTCTTCAAATGTTAATGATCCTCCAGTTTGTTGTTGGGCATTTTCTAACTCCCAGTTATGCTTTTGGATTCTAGTGTGGTACTAATGCTCCTATTAGTGCTGCCCAAATGCTGGGAGAAGTTAGCAGGTTTATGCTTCATCATCTCAGGACTGGACTTGTAAATACTGATGTGTCATAGGATTTCAATGGCCAATTTATGCCTAGATCCCCCACCCCCGTTTTTCTCTATTGCAGTTTTATAACCAACAATTACCTTTTCTGCCTGGATGCAGGCTTCTTAAACCTGGAGGGGTTTATATGCTGGTATGCCATGAAACTGAAATTCTATCTTTTTTTTTTCTTTTCTTTTCAATTATTTCTTTATTCTTATCCTTTATTTAAAATCCTGTAAGCTTTAGCCTTGTTTTTCCCATTTTTACAGATAACTTATGGTGATCCAACTGTAAGGATTCCTCATTTGAACAGACCAGTATTCAATTGGAAAATTACATTGTACATTATACGTAAGTTTTCTTCTAACAAGTTCTTGTCTCATACTTCTGTTGATTTTATCAGTAAATTTTTGTTCTATAACTTTCCTTCTCTTATTTGGATGCGCAATTTTTTTTGATTGGCAACAGGAAAACCAGATTTTATTACTAATAAAAAATACAAGAAGAGGTTGTCAGTTACAAAACAATTAGAAACTTGATCATGGCCCCTGCTATCTCACCCCAATACACTTTTATATTACAACTGAGCCCAAAACATTTGTTGTCTAGTGACCCTTGTTTTGCCAAATCATCGTCCAAGCTGTTAGCTGATCTTTGCACTCATTGTATTTCCAATTGCATGTCTTTAGAATACCAGTGAAACCATCTTACTTCATTCCTATAGGTCCAGTTTGCTGCTGCAGTCTTCAATAACCAGCTAATAACCACTTTAAATCACCTTCAGTGACCAGTTTATCAATCCCCATATCCTTTGCCTTCTGCACTCCAATGGCCCAATCACAGCTGCCTTTAACTCTGCCCTCATAGAATAGAATCTCCTTCCCCTATCAGGCGTAAGCCCTGAATAAGAAGCATGTAAGATACCATTCTCATCTCTTATTACTCCCCCTATCCCTGATGGACCTGGATTTCCCAAACTGTTTCCATCAAAGTTCAGCTTCATCCATCCCCTAGCTGGTTGTGACCAGTCCTTTTTCAGCGTCATCTTCTTAACTGAGGAAGCTACAACCACACCCCAGTTCCTGAAAAAAATCATCCATCATGAAATATAATAACAAATGCACTATATTTACCCAATGTATAACTCTCACTGTGATGCATTCTATAACAGCCTCTTTACTTCTTTCCTTCAATGATTCTACTGTTTCTTTCCTCCCACAATGTCCATAATATTTCCACTCTTGTACAGCTCCACATAATTTTGCCTCTCCTTCTAGAACACCTGAAAGTAGTGGCATGAAACAATCTGTCCAAGCTTATAGGGGCATTCCACCTGCACCCAGAACAAGCAAGAAACCAAGCAGGAAAGGGATAGGACATTTAGTAAGTAGAAAGCAGTTTCACCATTCGATTTGCACATGATGCACCAGTTGGGGAACAAATACCAGTTTGGTCTTCTTCTTGTAACAAATCTGAAATATTAATGCTTCTGAAAAAGACTTTCCAAGACAAGGCAGCAACTTTAGGAGGGATAGGGACACACCAAACTTCCTTCACAGAAGAGGAAAGAGGAAAGGGATTAGAAACCATTACAGACTTGAAAAACAGAAGCACAAGAAAAAGATCCCCCAGGACTAAGGGCCCGCACCTTCCATCCCCTTCATTGAAATAAAACACCACCCCCTCTAGAACTAGAATATTCAAAAGATTAGAGAACTGTGGAATTTTCAAGTCCTTAATGTTCATCTAGAACTCCAAGTTCCAGTCAACACTTAGGGATGGCAATTGTGCAGGTTGGGTTTGGGATAAACTTCAACCCAACCTGTCTTGACCCAGCCCAACCTGCCCAACACATTAACCTTGTAACAACTTGAGTTTTATGAGAACTAATTAAAAGTAACAACCAACTCTCTTTTGACAATTTAGTTAGGCATGGCTTAATGGTAAAAGTGGTCATCCTTCACACAAGTGTTCAAGGTTAAAATTACATTACATGCATATTATTTATACATGGAGAATTTAAGAGCAGTTAATCATTTGGAGCCATTTGATTGGGTTTGGGTTCTGGGTATATGGTTGAGCCTCTTTGGTTTGAAATTTGAATCTAGCCGGGTTTGTATTCAGATTGATCGGCTCAGGTGCGGTTGAATCATTCGAGTTTGGACTGGTCGGCCTGAATCAGATTGAGCTGGACCAACTAGGTTCGGGCTGCTTTGTGTTGGTTGTAGTCGAACATCCAAATCCAAAACGAATTGGGTCGACCCAAATCGGATCAGTTCAGTTCGCATGGCATCACCTGTGCCTCATCTGGTCAGGTACATTTGGGCCATTCTGATTCAAATCAGACTGAGTTGGGCTGAACTGAGTTAAACGGATCTAGTTACTTTGAACTGAACATGGTCGAGCCGGGTCGATTGAAATCAAGTTGGTCTGAAATACCTAGCTGTGTTTGGATTAATTCAGGTTGGGTACGTTGGGCCATTTGGTCCTGAATCAAATTGGACCGGAACGGGCCATTGGACCATTTGACTGAGTTTGGGTTCATGCCAATATGGGTGAATTGTGTTGACCGGAAAAGGAAATAGTTTTAGTCAATAATTATTTCCAATAGTTAATTAGAATTTAATGCATTAATTATCAATTGTAATTGTGAGTTAACTTGAATGAAGAAAATTAATGAAAAAATGGCTAGGCAATTTACACATTTATCATTAGTGATTAACCCACTGGGTACCCACAGCTTGGCCCAACCCAACCCAACCCAACCCAACCCATTTAAATTTATGCAATGGATGACTCAACCCATTCCCAACTCACTAAGTAAATGAGCAGGTTGGGCGGGTTTGGCATGTTCAAGAGGTTGGGTATGAAATTGCCGTCCTTATAACACCAAAGTTTGAGAGCAAAGGAGCTATAAATTCAGAGACAGGTTTACCCTTTAAAGTGGATAAAGTGTACAAAGAGGGTTAGAGGGGAACAAAGATTTTAGAGGGGCATCCCCCACCTGAAGATCTTTCCAAAATTTTATCTTGTTACTGGAAGAGAGATCATACCTGACATGATTAAGAAACAAAGGAGCTTTCCAATGTGAAGCAAGAGTGGTCCTATACAAGAGTCCAGCATCCCAGCCATTGTCCAAAAGTCCATGAATACTCTCCACAACCTTATGTGAAAGATTCTCATGTTCCAGTGGAAATTTCCACAACCATTTCCTATGTAAAGCGAAATTGTTCTTACTCAAATTTTTTTTTGATGAATAATTGTTCTTACTCAAATTCCCTAACCCCAAACTTCCTTCTTCCTTCTACACACTACCTCCCATTTAACCCGATGGCCCATCTTATTCACCAACCTCTCCATCCTATTGACAACTGCTCGTGGCATTCTAAACACTGAGAGATGGTATAGAGAAAGATTAATAAGATTAATCCCCCCCAGTCAGATGTAGTTCTTTTTCCCCAATTTCTTTTCAAAATTTTCTATCATTGTAACTCAAAAGCTAAATGATCTAGGGTTTGCACCTAATTGGACATCGGCCACCCACAAGAAAGACATCCTAACATTGTTGCCCTAGACTCTACTTCATCTTCTCCTAGATTTATCCCTGCCACCATGCTCTTGCCCCAATTAACTTTCAGATTTGGCACTTTCTCAAAAAGTCTCATCAAAAGTCTTAAGCTTTCCACCCAACAACTATACTCTCCATCACAGAAAATGAAAATGGTTGTCATCAGCAAATTATAAATGGGTAATCACTAACCACCATCCCTTTTCTTCCTGTCACAGAAAATGATATGCACAATTTGGTTTTTCATCAAGTGGAAGTTCCATTTTTTTTTCTGTTTTTAATTTAGTATTTACCTTTTGTGATATCATTGGTCCAGCGTATAGCTGCTCTTGACTAATACTACCTGATATCATCTTAATGATAAAATCATACAATATTTAACCTCTCAGTTGGCTCCATTCTTTTTGGGTGTTCAGACTTCAGACTAGCTTTAAATTAATTGATCATCAATATGAAACATTAATCTTTTCTAATTGTTCAATCTGAAACAGTAATTTTTTTTGGGTGTAGTACCTTTTGCCTCTGTATTTTGCTAAATGATTTAGTTGGTCTTTACTTTCCTGTTGTTAAGTGGCACAACTCCAATATTTGAAGCCCTTTGGAGCATGCATATGTATGAAACATGCTAGGAATTACCCGAATCCAGCATCCTCACCCTCTCTCATACCTCTTATTTCTTTGTAGGTACTTGTATAATTAGAAAAAAACTTTAAGGCATCTGTATGCTTAGATATATTTGGTTAAATCATTTAAAAGAATAGCCATATATTTTAAAACTGAAGTTCTTTTGAAGTAATCAAACCATTTGAAATTATTACGTGCTACTTAAGATTACATTTATGGATGTCAATTACCTTCCCTCAATAGGTGCATATGAACAATTCTTCCACAAATCTTTAGCTAGATCGAAAAGAAGATTACATTGTACACCTTTAAATATCTCTTGTACTTTGATCATCATCATTCCCTCCTGTTTAGTGCCATTAAATATCTCTAGTGCTTTTCTGAGAAAAAAATCTTCTACTGCTTGCATACCTGATTATCACATTGGTGTAAACAGCAACATTTTTTTCCCTCAAAGTTCAGAAAAAGAAATTTGAAAATTGAAACTTATATGTCATAAATATAATTCAACTTTTCTTTGGTGGAGCATACTTTATTAAGTATCCATTCATTTGATCAAAATAACAAGTACCTGCTAGAAAGAAAATTGATCAGATCATAAACAGTTCTGTAGCGAGGTTTTCTGGATATATTTTGATTGTGCTAATGTGGTGGCTGCATCATTGGCACAGAATACCTGTAGATATCCTTGTGTTTCTAGAGTTTTGTTTGCCAGCTACTTCTCTTTCTGTGTTTGAGTGTGTACATTTTGGGGGGGTGGGGGGTTTAATCTTGTTCTTGGGAAGAACCTGATTGGATTTTAGTTAGAAAGATATCATGAGCATGAAAGCAGCAAGCAATAGCATCATCCATATTATAGTCATAGTATCATCTAGAGCATCAAAGCAGCAATAGCTGCTTGTCCATCAAATATGTTTTAGTTGGTTTTATAGGTAATGTTGGCTCTCTTTCTGTCAAAGAATATATTTTTATTTCCGCTTTGTGCATGTTGGCAAGGAATTGGACGATAATGCCACTTGGATAATCAAATTTTGGTATGATACGTCTTTCTGTTTAGGACTTAAATTTTATGGGAATTGGATTAATTGTTATACTTGAAAGTGAGCTCAAGATTTTAACTCTTTGTCAGTCACATGTATAATCTTATCATGGTAAATAAAGAAGCCCTTTGGCAATATATCTGTTTCCCAGAACAACAGAAACTACGTCAGATTTTGAACTGTTACGACAGTTTCTTTCTTTTGTTTTTACTGCTTGTATCATTAGAATCTTTTTGTTCTTTTGCAGCGAGACCAGGATTTGAAAGGCCGGATGGTTGCTGTTCGTCATCAAAGTCATTCCTGGAACCTGTTCCTCTGACGGAGAAGGGCCTGCTTCCAGCAGACTTTGTTCTGGAAGATCCAGATTCCCACTATATATATGTGTGCCAGAAAATGGATGAAACAATAGTGGATATAAGCCATCCAACCATGCAACAGGTGTGAGCACATGTACCTGATGAAAGGGAGGGTAAAAGAAACCTGATTCTCATTGTATTTAGCCTTGAAAGCTCTAATACCATCATTCAAACCATTTAATTTTCAGAAGTTCTTGTCTAACCTCAAGTGTTTACGACTTAGGAAGGCTATCCAGGATTCCAGTGTAACTTGTAAGCTTCATACCAAAATTTATGATTGATGATTAGCTTTGGACCTTGTTATGGTGTGGTGTGCAGATGTGTAAAAATATCAGTACTTGAACCAAAACCAATTCGCATGGCTTCATGTAGACCACATTTTACATACTTAATGTTGGCAATTGATCAAGTTGTATGGGCCTATGGGGATTGGGGGTGTGTTTGGACTAATTCTCCTTTAATTATCTCTTTATTTGTAAAAACTTTTTTATTTTCTTATCCTGCTTAGCACATCCTATAGTTTATCTCCAAATTATTGCTTCTATAAATGTCCAAGAAAAAGAAAAGAAAAAAAGGGAAAAAAACTGTAACAAAGAGAAGGGCAAGACAAAATTCAAATTAGCGTAATATTCAGTCTTATAGTTTGCTATGAATACAAAAATTTTATGTAGGAATTCAAGTGTTATATTGTGAGACCCATTAAACGATCTGATTATCATGATTCACTAGGCACGACTCCCGTATTGATACGGGGCCGCTAATATGAACTAATTTAAAATTTCAATTTTTTTACATCATTTAAATTAAAAATTTAGGTTGGGTTTTTCATATATTGTTTGGATAGGTTTTTATTTGATTTAAGAGAATTACTATATTTTATCTAGGGAAAATTTCTACTTTGTACTTTAGGTCGAGTGTCAATTTAGTACAGCACCCCAATTTTCATTTTACGATAATTTAGTATCCCGTCAGTTAGAAAATAAAAAGACTTAAATACCCTTTAGCTATTTCGAGTAATGCATGAGTTCTCTATTGAAATTACAAAAATGGTCCCATTAGCTATTTCCACCTATGCAAGTGGAAACTAATGTTCACACTTGTAGTTACCGAGATTGGCTCCAAATCCAGATCGTCCATATCTAAGCAGTGGGTTCCACCCTTGAGAGTTGAATTGGGTAAGATTCTTTCCTGATGGTTGATCTGATGTGAGCCTAGATTTGAGATTTTAGTTGGGATGATGTTAATGATTTTAATAATTATATTCGAAACTTTGAAGGTCAAAACTCAAAAACACGGAGAGGTTTTGCGGAATCTGTGGATTTCTCATACCAGCCTAAAACCACTTGCCTTTCCTCTGCAGAAGCCCACCGGGCTTCTTGCTGGCGCCAGAGGGGTCATTGCCTTCGGAGCCACCGTCGTTGACGATGTAGAAGACCACCATGATGAGAAGCCTCACCATGTGCTACGCTGGAATGTTGAATGTGTGATATCTCTCTGGATTTCACAGGAGGAGAGGGATTATTGAGAGAGAGAAAGAGCGAGAGAGAGTAGTGTCGTCACTGTTCATCGAAGGAGACGATGAATAGTGATGAATGGATGGCGAGGTTCAAACTAGAGGAAGGAGAAGAAGGTGAAGATGGGGAATAGGGAAAGAAATACCAAGAAAGATGAAGAAAACCAGCGTAACCTGATGCTGAGGAAAGCGAACTCGCCACCTCCTCTGATGGTCTGGATGAAAATGGAAAGTTGGCAATGAACAGCACAAAAATGGGAAGTTGGCAATGAACAGTATGAATCTTGTAAGTCATCATGGCAGTGAAAATGCTAAATTGGCAACCCAAGTAATCTCAACTGGCATAAACTCTGATCTCTCGTCTCTCACTCTACTTAACGCAACTCTTATAATTCGAAAAGAAACCATCTCTCTCTGATCTCTTATGGCTTCTACAACTTCTTCTATGGAAGACATAATGGACAACATTGGCCTTGGTAGTGCCAAGGAAGAAGACGCTAAGGTTATCGGAGATGCAACCTCTCTCTAATCCTCCTATAATGATCGGATTCGACCCCTCCTCGACGCCGTAGACCAGCTGCGCCACCTCAATGTCATGAAAGAAGGCATTGAGCTCCCCACCATTGTCGTCGTCGGCGACCAGCTCAAGTGAATGAAGAACAGCACCTGGGGGGTGTTTGTTCTTTAGTTGCACCGCCAGACCATCTTTCATCAGTGAATCTAGAGAGAGAGAAGCTGGAAAACAGAGGGTGGAGGAGCTGGATTTAGGAGAGTTACATATATTTTGGGAAGAGGTACGGCTTGCAAGGTTGTGGAGAACTAGAGATGCTTAGAATTGAGAAGCATCCGGACCTCCTCCTTTGTCTTAGGCGAGAGCTAGGAGGTGGACCTCCGAATGGTGGCAGAGGTACCTCTGTTCCCATCACAATGGACCAACTCTTCAAACGCCTAAGGTTGTAAAGGTGGTGGTCTGCGAGGTGGAGCTTGTGGTGGCCATCGGAGGTGACAACGAAATCGGAAAATCATTAGCAGCAACAGAAGGACCCTTGCAGTCGAACAACTCTTGGATCGCCATTGATACAACATTTAAACAGACTCACAGTCTCAATCTCAAGTGAAAGAGACTGAGATGGCCGGTGATACAACTATTGATACAACTGCTCAGTCTCAATCTTTAACCTCCCTGTGCTTAGTTGAACAATAGTTGTATCAATGGCGATGGCCGGTGATACATCAGTAGTTGTATTAAAGAGACGAGTGGATGAGCACGATCCTCGCAGTCTCAGTCTTAGGTTAAAGACTCGCCATTATACAGCAGTTGAATAGACTACTTGGCGATGGCCGATGACTCGCAAGAGGGGGTGGACGTGAGGAAGAGGAAGACAACCAGAAGTTGGATTCGAGGAAGAGGAAGAGGAGAGGAATGTCGTCGGCGTCGCTATTGATACAACAGTTGACCAGTGAGATGATGAGCGTGTTTTAGGATGGTAAAATGGTCTGTATATTTTTGTAAAGGTTAGTTTTGGTATTTCGAAAATATTTAATATCACCTGATTCTTTTAACAGACGATGAATTAATGTCGGGTATTAAATTGACGCTAAATAAAAGTTGGGGTACTAGATTGTCGCATTTTTAAGTTGGGATATTAAATTGGCACTTGACTAAAATACATACATGGTACCTATGGAGAATTTTCACTTTTATCTAGTATGTGACCAACTCCGTTATTGGGGCAGTCACACATATGTATCATTTTTGGCTTTTACTCCTATTTTTTATTTTTTTTATAATAATATTATTTTATTTGAATTTTTTAGAAGATTTTATTTGAGTTTCACTATTTATCTAATAATTATATTTATATTTGAAATTCAGATAAAACTAAGCAGTTGTGACATTTCTTGCATTTTTTAGAAATAGTTTAATTATTATATACTATATATACTAACGTGCTATGTGGCGTGAGGTCGCGGACAGCCCAGGCTATTGAAGGTAGACAGCCAAAGTTTTAGGCTTTGTCGGTTGGTCATGTATTTGCTTGGGAGTCAAGTCAATACCGTGTGGAGCCCAATCTAAATACATAATTGAGTTGACTGGTGACACGGTCGTTCAGCCATCAATAGTTTAATTACTACCTCCATGGTCCATCCCAACCACGCACAGACTTCATAATATTCTAAACGAGGTGGGCCTTTGGGAGGCCAATTTCACTTCTCACTCAGCCCCAAGGTGAATAGAATATGAGAAATGTGGTCAGATCATATATCGGAAACACGGAAATCACCAAGTTAAATCAAAGGATGTCATGCTTTTCAAGTAGTCACCAAGGAAAGGAAATGTAATAAAGTAAACTAATTGGTAACATAAATGAAAATCTCCAAATAATTAAAAGAAGAGTAAATTTTTTAAATTATGTTTATAGTTTAGTTAATTGACTTAATGTATTTTTACTGTTTTAAAAAATGATTAATACTGTCTCTATCTCTATTGTATTTGACAATTCATTAATACCGTGTGAAGACAGCACGACTAGTAACGGAGTTGGTAATAAGGTCGTCGTCTATAGCGATCAAACCATTACTCCATATATACCTCATATTTTGCTTAATCCCCCTGCACATTACATTGTTCTTTCAACCACCTGCAGCTTCATCCATTTCTGATACCCTGCAATCCCCGAACAATGGAAGCTGCAGTTTTGTGTGCATTCGTGGAAAAACTTTTTGGAAGTTTGAAATCGCTAGTTGTCCAGGAGTATGGATTAACCACGAGTGTGAAGAAGGAACTGGAAAAGTTGGAAAGCACTGTGTCGACGATTGAAGCTGTTCTCGAAGATGTAGAGGAGAAGCAATTGAATAGTAAGGCAATAGGAGATTTTCTTTGGAAGCTTAAAGACGCTCTTGATGATGCAGATGATGTATTAGACGAGTTTTCAACAAAAGTTCTGCGTCGTAGAGAAGAGAGAAGAGTATTAAACAAGGTACGCAAATTCCTTTCATCTTCAAAACAAATAATTTTCCGCCATCACATAGGCCACGAGATTAAAAATGTTATGGAGAGATTCGTTGGGATTGCCGCTGAAAAGTCCAAATTTCATCTGACGGAGGGTATCATTAGCAAGAATTATGAGAGTGAAGAAAGACAGAGAGAGACCACTTCTATTGTACTTGAATCGGAAGTGTATGGAAGAGATGATGATAAGGAAAAGGTTGTGGAATTGTTGGTGGACAAGTTTAATGAAAATGGAATTTCAGTCATTCCCATTGTTGGGATTGAAGGCCTAGGCAAGACAACTCTTGCTCAATTGGTTTACAATGATGGAAGGGTGAAGAGTCTTTTTGAGCTCAGAATGTGGATTTATGTGTCTGATGATTTTAACGTGGAAAAGCTTACAAAACAAATTATTGAATCTGCGACAAAACGCAAATGTGATGTCCCGAATAAGGACCTTCTGCAGCGTCGCCTACAAGAGGAATTAAATGGGAGGCGGTATTTACTCATTCTAGATGATGTCAACAATGAGGATTCTGAAAAGTGGGAGGAGTTGAAGAAAGTGTTGATGAGTGGAGCAAGAGGGAGCACAATTATAGTAACTAGTCCTAGTACCAAAGTGGCACGCATTATGGGTACAGTGGATCCATACCATTTGAGTTTTTTATCAAATGATGATTGCTGGGAATTGTTTAGAAGAAGAGCATTTGGAGTTGAAGAGGTTCCATGTAACTTGGTGGCCATTGGAAAGGAGATTGTGAGGAAGTGTCGTGGGTTACCATTAGCAGCAAAAGCTTTGGGAGGATTAATGAGGTCCAAGAGAGAAGAACGGGAATGGTTATACGTAAGAGACCATGGGGATTTACTTGAAGATGCAACTGGAATTTTACCTGCCTTAAAGTTGAGTTATGATCATCTTGCACCACATCTGAAGCAATGTTTTGCGTATTGTGCATTATTCCCTCAAGATTATCGGATTAACAAGCAGACTCTGATTCAATTATGGATAGCAGAAGGCTTTATTCAGTCATCAATAACAGGTAAGGAGGTAGAGGATATTGGTAATGAGTATTTCAGTGAGTTGGTGCAGAGGTCGTTCTTTCAATATGCTTGGGAAGACGAGTATGGAAACTTTGAATGGTGCAAGATGCATGACCTTGTGCATGATCTTGCTCGATTTGTTGGAAGGACTGAATGGCGCATGATTAGCATAACTGATAATGGCCCCTCCTCCACAGGGAAAGGGAAAAGAAGGGTGCGGCATTTATCACTAGATTATGGTAAGTCATGGCTGCAAGGAGTGCAACGAATTAATTGTAATCCTTTCTTCCATAATGAAGAGTTGAAGGCTGCAAGAACATTGCTAGTGTTGAATAATCGTCATGGATATGTTTTGCAAAATTTGTCCTCCACCTTGAGTTATTTTAAGAGATTAAGAGTACTTAGTTTAGGAGGTATGGAAATAGAAAAGCTGCCTACTTCCATTGATAAGCTTGAACACCTACGGTATCTTGACATCTCTGAAACAAGAATTACTAAACTTCCATCATCCCTTGCTTCCCTCCTGAATCTACAAACATTGAAGATCTCAAATATTAACCAAGTAGTAAAGCTGCCAAAAGGCTTGACCAAGCTGATAAACCTCAGACATCTTGAATTCAATAAATTCTCGAAGGAGGTTCAAATCCCTAGAAGGATAGGGCGATTAACTGGATTACAGGCATTATCAAGATTTATTGTGGGCGAGGAGAGTGGGCGTAGCCTAACAGAGTTACAGGGCCTAAATAATCTCAGAGGCGAGATTATAATTAAAAACCTGGAGAATGTAAGGAATGCAGGTGAAGCTGAGGGAGCCAATTTGAAGAGCAAGCCAAATCTATGCTCGTTGTGGTTATTTTGGTCGTTGAAGAATGATGACAGGGACAGCAGAAGTAGTAGGGGTGGTGGTAATTTGGGGGAGGAAGTATTTGAATGTATATGTATGCAGCCACACCCAAATTTGAGAAGATTAAAGGTGTACGGATACCCAGGGAGACAAACTCCAGGTTGGATGACGAAAGGGAATTTATCCATGCCCAACCTTGTTGAAATACAACTATGGAAATGCAGGAAATTGGAATATGTCACTGCCCTGGGGCATTTGCCCTGCCTGAAGACACTTGGATTATATCATATGGATTCCATTAGATACATGATGGATGGCAGTATTAATACTAATCATAAGGGCATTGGCATTGCCGGAGGTGTACCTGATGAAGTAGTGATATTTCCTTCATTGACGGTCCTTGAGATATGGAATATGCCCCGTATGGAAGGATGGTTGTCGGGAAAAGAAGAGGAGGAGGAGGGAACAACACCATTACTATTGCTAGAGGATTTTGTTGTTGTTGTACAATTCCCTCGCCTTGAGAGACTGAGTATCCACTCCTGCCCCAGATTGACAAGCATGCCACGGCTTTCCACCTCATCTTTGAAATCCCTTACTCTCCATCGTAGCAATGACATGATATTAACATCTCTCCACAAATTGAGTACTACTGTTTCTGATTGCTTGACGTCGTTTGGGAGTTCACTACAACATCTCACAGCCTTACACACCTTGTGCATCGAATCTGCATATGAGATTGTTTGTTTGCCAGAAAGCATCCAGCACCTCACCAAGCTTGACACTCTGCAAATTTCTAATTGCTCCAAACTAGAGTGTTTGCCAGAGTGGATCCATAATTTGCCATCGCTTCGGCAGCTCAAGCTTTCATATAATCCAAATCTGAGGAATCTTCCGGCAGCATTACAACGCCTCCATTCACTTCAAACATTACAAATCCGCAAATGTCCCCAATTGGAAAGACGATGCAGCAAGGACCGAGGTGAGGATTGGCATAAGATCGCTCATATCCCACATATTCAGATCATTCAATATTGATCATCACCCAAAAAGGAATCCACCGGGTGCTGGAATTGATGAATCTGCTCCCATCTATCTCAACCCCAGGCAAGTTCCTTCTCCCTTAATTCCTTTCCTTGCATGTACGTTAAACCAGAGATCCTCACCTCATGTTTAGCTCACTACTTCATTAATAGTGAGCTTTCTCTTATCTTTTAGATGCACTAAGCACCTTTCCCCCCTTATCAATGGTCATTTCAAAGTCAGACGCTCAACTCAACTTCTTAAAACCTTACTGATTTTGATGATTTAAATTTTAATGCTGCTTTTGGCATACACCATCAAACAAACAATTCTTGTGAATTTTTTGATTCTAAGCCAATGGCATCCCTTGGAAGACAAACCTTTCAATTATAACACTGTAACATATAAGACAAACCCTCCTATGTAATTGATTCTATAGTATTTGTAAATTATATGGAGTGTCATATATGATTATTCAAAATAAAATGACATCCTTCTTCTCTCTCGCCTAATTCTCTCTCTCTCCTCTTATTCTTTATTTCAATTTTTATTTATTTATTCATTTATTATTATTATTATTATTATTATTTAAGCATTTATTTATTTAATAAAAATAAATAAATTATTTATAAATCAGTAAAACAAAGGAGATTTGACATTGATAGACAGATTTTAATAAACATTTATTTATTTATTTTGTTAAGTTATTTATTTATTTAGGAATAATTTACTAACAAATTATTCTCTCCCCTTGAGCCCAATATTTAGGTTTGTCAATGGGTCAGGTCTAGTTTGAGATAGCTTATACTGGTCTCATATCAACAAACTATTATTTATTCATTTATTTATTTTATTCAATTTAATTGATTGAAAATAGTTATAACGGTTATAGTTCCATGATTTTGTCTCGATTAATAATTAGGTTGGTTTTTGTACTTGCCCGTCCAAAATTGATTTAGATCCAAAGTCGATTATTTTATGGAAATATATAAATTTTTAACTTTATTATGTTTTATGTTTGAAATAGTAAATTTGATAGGTAATAAATAAGATAACATTAGTTAAAAATATTTAACCTATTAAGATAAAAATAATTTAGTATTATTTTAAGTTATTATTTGAATATAATCATGTCTATGATTTTATCCCAGTTGAATAATTGCTTTAAGATTGGCTCTACCTAGACCAGACCCATTAATAACCCTAAACCAAATTGAGGCCCACTATAGTTATTAATTATTTATAATAATATAATTATAATTATTTTATTTAACAAAAAAGTAATCTAATTTATTATTGTATCTCCAAATGCAATTTTTCTATTTCACCCCTCCAGGGCTTCCTATTAGTTTCATGGAAAATCTTAAGGACTTTCCCACAACTGCAGATTTATAAAAAAAAAAAAATGTCTCATTCTGAATGTCATCTGACACTAAAACAATTGAATTGACTTTAATGTTCTCCAATCAAGAAAATGTCGTTGATAGTCCTTTCACTAAGTGCCCATTTGCAAGGGTTGAAACAGAGCAGCTTCTGGCTTTTTGAGGTGGGCCTCAAATGAACAGCCTCTAAGCTATATATATGTATGGTAAAAATTCCCGAGAGCCCAAACTGGCTGTTTGTCAATCATCTGACTAACAGCCTCTAGGCTATCCATACCACTTCAGCCTCTTTGAATAGTTTATCCAAATCACTTATGTGCTATTTTCTATGAAGTATTTGAAAAAAACACTTTTATTTCCTTTTGCCATCATACCATCAAATGATCAAAATATGACAAAAGAACCCAAAATTTTCATAAAAACAATCAACAATCAATAAACAAAAAGTACTTTTTCCATCATAACCCTGAATCTTAAACAATGTACTACAATCATTGTCTCATATTTCTTCCCATGCACCATTTTCTAAGAAATCACCCTCAACTTTCTATGTTCTCTCTTATTTTCTATCAAACCAAATGGGCATGGCTGACTTATGCTTCACCATGAAAATCAACCCAAGTAGTTTGAACCTACAAATTCTGACACTGGAATGATCGGTCATTCTCTAACTTATTTAGTCCTGTATTTTTCAATCTATCAAAACCAAAAAAAAAAAAAAAATCAGGAGTTCACCTAACAGCTTATGCTTTTAGGTTGAATTAATTAAATTTGTGTAAATGGTCTTAGTGTTCCTTCAGATGGTATTAGAGTGTGTTCTACTATTCCATCCTCACGGTCTTATCAAATATGGGTTGAGTCTAATCCCCTATTGCATGCATTCACTTACATATAAAGATTAAAAAAATGTTTATTTCATATTCTTCTCTTATATAAAACACGATTTAATGGTATAATTAAAACATAGGCCAGAAGATTCAGACAATTAAAAAGTTCAAGCCAATGATTTATATCCATGGTGTGTTGCTAAAAAGCGGAGATGTCTAATCACCAAAAACCTTTGGGTTTGCGCACACTGGACCCATGGCCCATTTAAAGACCAATTCATTTTGAGGTCCATGACTTGCCATCTGTCATAGACTGATATAATTTGAGTCCACCATTCAATAGTTGCCACATTGGAGATCAATTGGGTAAAAAAAATCAGCTCGAATTCTTTATCAAATATCTCTCCTGTTTTTGGACTTGGACAAAGGTGATTGATGAAAAGTTCTATTCAAATTACTTTTAAACTGCGAAAATAGTGTACGAATCAGATGATATCAAATCATGTCAACTTTTGGTATAGAGCATCTCTTCCTTCAATGATAGATTCTAATGTCTTGAAAATGTGCCACCTGGCAAGTTATGAGGACCCAGACCACAGGTAATAGTCTTGTGACCACTGACCAGTACCGATGAACCAATCCCATCAAATAAATCATCTAAAAGATTACGAGAAGTTAAAAAAAAAAGATTATGTAATTTTCACCCATCTATTTGTGAATTGTGAATTGGTCTTGTAATTCCGTAGTACCCTCTTCCCCCATTAGATAATGTGGGACCCACCTGATTGTGCCTGTAGATCTTATTTAATCACGTAGCAACATAAGAATACACCTAAATTTTCCACCTTTAAACCATAAAATGTCACATACTAAAAAAATCCATAAAAATGTTAAAGTATTAAATATTTAATAAATGCTAAAATTCATTTGCTGAAAAAACCAACAGATGACAGAAGGCAGTAAACACTGATAACTGATAGGCTAGCCAAAGAGATGTACACACTCTGAAAATTGCAAAGTTTCTATCTCGGTCAAGTGTTGAAGTAATAATTTGGTGGTTGTTTTATTTAGAAAATTTGAGCAAAAAAGCAAAATTACCTATTTATAATTAATTGATATTAAAATGGAAAATTTATCAATAAATGGGCAAAACCCGGTGCGTCGAAAGGGTCCTCTTTCCCTCCGAAAACAGCAAACAACCGTCAAGCACAGCTCTCTCTCTCTCTCTCTCTCTCTGTCTCTCAGATGTTATTAAAAATAGCAGAGATTCCCATCGGTTTATTTAGGAATGAAGATAGTAAATGATCTAAATGTGGCAAAGTACGCACACACACAGCTTTCGAGGCAATGGCCATGCAGGGTTACCGTTTCCAGTCTTTTTGCCATTCTGGGTAAACGCTTTCTCTCACCCTTATATCTTCTGCTCACTATATTTAGCCACCTCTTTTCCTTCTTTGTCATCAGAGAAGTTGAGGCAGATGAGAGACATGACTATATACAGATACGCTATGGAGAGATTGCTGTTTGTAGTTTTAGCTTTTGTTTCTCTTTTGCTCTGAGTTTTGGGTTGGTGGTTCCGTTATTTGGATGAGAGGAGGAGAGAATCGAGTTGTGGGGAGAAATGGGTAGAGGGAAGATTGAGATAAAGAGGATCGAGAATGCCACTAGCAGGCAAGTCACCTTCTCTAAGCGTCGTGCTGGGTTGCTTAAGAAGGCTCAGGAGTTGTCAATTTTGTGCGATGCCGAGGTTGCGCTCATAATCTTTTCCAGCTGTGGCAAGCTCTTTGAATTTGCTAGTTCATGGTACTTTTTTGTTATTTTTGTTTGTTCATTTTCTACTGGGTTGATGGATTTTCTTTTCGATTTTGTTGGCCTTAATTTGTTCTTTTTTTTTTTTTTATTCCAATATGAATTGAATAGGTATAGTGATGATAGATGCAATTTTGTTGGTCTTGATGTATATATATCTTCTTTGCCTTTCTGTTTTTCTTTTTCTTTCCATTCTCCTACCTGGCATTTCATTCATAGTTCGTTTCTCTGTGATGATAGATGCAATTTTAAGATTTTTAAGGTTTCATTGCGCTCCATATTCGTAAGATGAAGTCACTTAATTTGGTGATTATTCATGTTTCAAGGTCCCTTGCATATAAAATCTTTCATAAAAGCTTTTTTTTTTTTTTTTTTGGGGGGGGGGACCTGGTTTTTTAGAGTTTGGAGCAGGACTTTTTTTTTGGGGGGAAGAAAGGTTCTCTTTCACGGGTGGATTAAAATAATTTGAGGCATAGCCTCCTTTTACGGTACCTTCAGAGAACTCTCTTTGCCCCTTCGGAATTCCCTGGATTGTACTAGTTGGATTGAAATGATTTGCAGAGAATTATTAGGGAAGCATCATTCAGAAACAGAAATCTGATATTTGAATTTAGAGTATCTAGTTTGATCATTGAACCTGCATGTCTATATCTTTTATTAACACAAGCATGAGAATTCACTGCCAATATTAACTTATGCAGTAAAGCCTATGTCCTAAATTTGCTGCATTTTCCGATATGTGTGCTAGTGCCCAGCGAACTTTTGAGATTCCCATGAACCTCTGTTTCTTTGTTTCTTTTTTGGTTTTCTCTCCTTTTTGCTTCTAAGTAACCTATTTCTAGTTTGTTACTCATCCACCCCAATCCCTGTTTTGAATTTTATCATGCAAGTAATTTCTAATAATGTTAGTAATATTGGTTAAAATATGTCGTGCAATATGGTTTTTAAATGAATTTGATTTGTTATTTTCCTATTTTTCTCATACCAAAGAGGATGAAATGCTATAATTTGGGCAATTTCATCTATACATGGTATCTCAAAGTTAACTATGTTCATTACAATTGAACTTCTATATGTTTATTTGGGAAATTTAATGTGATGCAACTCTCCTTTTGTTTTTGTTTGTAAAGCATGAAGCGGACACTTTCTAGATACAACAAGTGCCTGGATTGTTCCGAGACTGCATTAGTTGAGTACGGGGCAAAGGTACTGATTTATTCCATCCTTGAAACATCTGAAACTATTAAATTTTCTTCTCTGTACTATATGCCATTGCACAATGGGAAAAATTGTTATTATGTTTATTTTGGGGTTTTTAATGATTTCCCCATAACTTACTTTCATTTTTTTCTTTTTTTCCCTTTCATCCCTAGACTATTCTTTCATTGAGTTGGTTTCTATTAGCAATGACAATGCATAACCAATTTAGTCACTTAAAACTATCTCATCTAACACACAAAGACTAGTATGTCTTAGTTCCATTACACTTTTCCTTTCACTTAATCTGAGCAATATCCTCAAATTTACCTAATTTCCCTAGCTAGTCCCATATCACTTATTGCTTTCAGAATTCCTTTAAAACCTATGGAAATGCAGATTCAAGTTTCAAAGAAATGCCAGCTGGGTCTAGACCCACACTCACAAACAAAGACCATGGAATTTCCTCAAAAGAACTCACCCTACCATGAACCCATGACCTCCCTGTGTTCAACTTCTATATTTCTGTATATCACTTGGTATTTGACAAACAAGAAGGTAGGAATGATAGAACTGATTGGAGCTGATGGCTTTCCAAGGGCAAACAAAAGAAACTCTATTGGTTGATCTAGAATCCCAACCGAGTCATACCTGCTGCTGATAACTAATTGCCATAAACCATGTTATTCTCTTGGAATCTCTTAAAACATTTCCTGAAGAGAGAAATATTTTTTCCCTCATCTACCCTAAAATTTAATTCTACACATAGCATATAGAGATTGACATTTAGACATATTTGATGTCTTTTGGAACTGACTAGAAAAAAAAAAAGGAAAAAAAAAGAAAAAAAAAAAGAATCAGATTAATATCTCACCCTGTCTAGTCGCATAATTTGATTTTTCTTGGTTAACTATCTATCATAGAAATAACTCTTTCATGTATTGCATATGTTAAGACCTTTCTGTCCCAAGTTTAAGACTTTTTTGGGTTTTTTTCTAATATGAATAAAATTGCTTTCTCATATTGCATTGTAATGGCAAAATGGTAATATAGTATTAAAGTTCTGTTCAGCCATTAACTGTCCTGGACAAGGGAAGTAAGGTATGTTTCAGAAAACTCAGGGAAGCACATGGTATTGTTAAACACCTGAAGTTTCTGAAAATGTTGTTTTATGTATGGTTGCTCCCTTCTTACAGTTCTTTCTCTTTCTAACAGAAGCAACAATCAAAGGAAGTTAACATTCTGAAAGATGAAATTGCAAGGCTGAGAATGGCAAACCGGTAAATCATCTAAAGTCCTGCATAACTAGCAGTATTACGTCACTGGATTTTGGAATGTATAAGCACCTTGTTAATATTATCATTTTTTGTACTCTTCTTTTGCAGGCGGATGATGGGTAAAGAGTTGATGGGCTTGAGCTTAAAAGAGTTGCAAAACCTAGAACATCAGTTAAGCGAGGGGATATTATCTGTGAAAGATAGGAAGGTAGTGAAAGAATTTTGAGATCCTTTTTTCTTTAAATTGTTCTACTGTTTGTTTCAAAATCTTTCGTGCAATGTGCAGAATTAGTTAAGAATTCTTTCATTTCAATATGTAAAATATGGTTTCATAAGCCTCAATCAGAAGTCCTACTTTTCAGGAGCAATTACTGTTGGAACAGCTTGAGAAATCAAGATTACAGGTACACTAGGTTGTTTTTTCTTTATTTGGCATTTCATCAATTTGATCTTATGGTTCTCTTGAGCAAATACTGCCCCTTTCAAGTATTCATTTGTAGTAAAATGGAAAAGTAGAATCACTCTTGAAAAAAAAATACACACTCTCTATCCCTCTCCACTTAAGTTGATGTTGATTATGGGGGATGAAGTACGGTTGAATGGATATCTCTAATGAATTTTTAGGCTGTTGTTTTAGTACAATATCTTCATTTGCTTAAACCTTTACAAAGCATATATAAGAGCTTCTTAAGGAATAGATAGAAAACTACAAAATGGTTCTAGGTAGTTATGAAATTTGATCTCTTATTTCTCATTTTAGTTTAATTTTTGTTCCAAGTATGTGAGTTTGCTTCAATGATTTATGTTGTTCAACTCCTCCATGGGGTAGTTTCAATTCATTTTTTATAGTTAAGAAGGTGCAACATATATATACCACTGACCACTTTTACCGTATGCATTTCCTTGTATAGGTTGATTTGATAATAGTTTGGGAATGTAATACATATTTTTTTTTTGTATATATTGTATAAATAGATTCTTTTTAAATAAAATGTATTGTCTTGTGTTCCATAGGAACAACGTGCTTTGCTGGAGAATGAGACATTGCGCAAGCAGGCAATATCTAAGTTCTTATTAGTTCTGATGTGAATTTGCTTATAACGTTTATCTTGAATGGTGTACTACAACTGCTGTTATTTATCTTTGACCCAAATTTGTAGGTTGAGGAGCTCCGAGGTTTGCTTCCATCACCTGAATGCCTGATGCCACCTTATCTCCGATTGCAACCCATGGAAAAGAAACATTTCCAAATAAAGCAGGATGTCATAAGTTCAAACATGGGATGTAATTGCACATTTGAGAAGCAAGGAGAGTCAGACACTTCCTTGCACTTAGGGTATTGTTCATTCCTTTATCTCTCTCTCTCTCTTTCTCTCTCTTACATATATGTATGTATATATTCCTTTACATGATCATGCATTATGTATAACATTCTGAAACCCTTCAGCAACTATTGAGGAACATCATATTTTGGGCCAGTAAGAATTGTGAACTAATCATGCTTTAGAAACTTGTTTGTGAATTTTCAAATCATGATGTATGAATAAGAAAAATAATAGATTGAATATTGTAATCTGTTCCATTTAGTGGTTGAAATGAAATGATTCCTTCAAAGAAACATGAAATAAATCGAGACCATTGTTTTAGATGGATAAAATGGAACTCTTCAATACACTTCAGTTGATTATCATTGTTGTTAACTAGTTGGATCTAATGATACCTAGATACCTATAGAAGGTCCCATATCATCTTGAATACTTCAATTTTATGGTAAGTTTCACATCTGACACATTTCTAGCCATGCTCTTGCTGTGTCTGGGTAGCATATGATGGAATAACTGATAATGGATATTTATTCAAATTTCTTAGGTGTTCCTAAAAGGGAATGTTGGACATTACCCAATTAAACTTTTAATAGATGGTAATATTCGAGAGCCTTGGGCCTGGAATTCATACTCTGCATTTCTTCCACTAGAACAAGTGCAGCTAGAAACATGAAAGTAGGACTGTTTAAGGCATCATATGTCATTCAAGTTTAAAACCCATCATAGTTACAATATAGATGAAAATATAACTTTCAGCAGATCTCGTTTCCTTTTGAATAAGCCTCCCATTCAAAACCATTGTGTCTGTGTGCATAAGGTTCCTATTCTGGCTTGGTTGTTATGTTTTCCTTTAAAAATTGAAATAGAAATATTTTAAATATGTTTTACTTATCAAAAAACATTTGAAATACGACTTACAGCATCAGTGGTTATTTCATGTTTCTGCTGCTATTTCATAAAAACTCATGTTTTGTCTGTTTTTCAGGTTACCCTCAGATAGTTGCCGGAAGAGGAAAGCACATGATACATCCTGTTCCAATGACTCGGGGACTGAATTGCCTCCCTCTTGATACTTTCCTTGAGGTGTCATTGATACGACAATTTTTTGTCCTTACTTTACCCAGACCAAACATTTTATTATCACTTCAAATCTATATCATCGTCACAGAGGAGCTCTTGGTGTGTGTGTGTGTGTGTGTTTTTTTTTTTTTTTTTTTTTACAGAAGAGTTGGTTTTTGTAGGGTGGTGGATATGATGAAATATTTACTGATTTAAGTAGTTTAGTTCCCTTCGGCTTGGTCGACTGAGGTCATTCTTAGAAAAGGGAAGCCATTCAAGTAGCTTAGCTCGATGAAAAAACAAAAGTCAATGTTTCTTTTTCATTTTTCTATGAACTTGGTGGTTGTATCTCAGTCTGATAAGCATGCTAACACAGGTTTGACTCTAAGAACAATCCATTTGTGCAGAAAAATAAAAAAGGCCAATAGTTAGGTCCATATCCAGTTTACCCCCTCCCAAGACCCTGTATAACCGGGACCAGTGTAGAATTTATTTGAATACAACAAACAATGGTTTGATAATTCAGTATTGAAATTTCACAACCATTTGTTTTTTTAAATATGTTGCAGCCTTACATTTTGCTACAAGGAGGAAGTATTTTTCAGAAAGACGGTTCTTTTCATAAATCATGCATGAGCTAATGCCAGTTGGTATTGAAATGCATGCCAAACATTTTGTTATGCAATTCTATTTTTAGGGGTGTTCATGTAAAACTGAAAAACTAAACCAAAACCAATAATTCGAACCAAAAGTTTCTGATTAACGGAATGGATGAATTAAGTTTTGGTTTTTCGGTTTGGTTTTGGTTTAGATGGTCAACTTACCTATTAATCAACTTATCCCTCTAAATACCGGAAAACAAACGGGGCCTTAGTGTCATTCAGCTTAAGACAGATTACTCAAATACTTATGGATCAGCCACTTGAGATGAAATTCATTGTGAAATTAGAATTAGAATTCATTGTCAATTTGTCATGTACAATAACTTGAATTGTGAATTGTTCAATACAAAAAAAAAAAGAAAAAAAAAAGAAAAAGAAAAACTGAATACAAAAAGAGCAAAAAAGATAAAACCAAATAATCACTATGTAAAAGGAATTAAGGAAGAAATTCGATCCGTATCTATTGTTTCCTTTGTCCAAGGCAATTGAGCAAATCATTTCTCCCTACCAAAACCTCGGAGAACAGCTGATCCACTTCCTCCCCAACACCTTCCAACAGCTTCCCTAGAAGCTCCACCCTTCTCTGCAAATCCTTTTCTTCATCTTTGCTCTGTCCACTGCCTGCAGCAGCAAAAAATCGAACTACTCCCTCATTCACATCTCTCACCTCCTTCAGTACGTACCCACTCTTTATCATCTCTTCAGAAACGCTCAAATGTGGACTCATCAGCGAAGAATTTCCCAATTGACCCACTGTTTTTCCTATCTCCAACCATGACTGAATGTCTCCACATAGGCTCGATGTCACAACTCCACAGAGTGAAAACGCAACAGTTTTCATCATCACCAAAGCTTGATGGATGACCCATTCTTTGCCAGAGCAAAACTTCTCCTGCCCTTCATCTTCTTTCTCTTCTTCATACCTGCAGTTCTTGTTAAAGCTGAAGGGCTGGATTGCTTCCAGACGTTTCATTGCAACAGAAGGTGAGTTCTCCATAAGGTTCAAGGCATAAGACATCGCCACACGAGCTCGACTGAGATGAGAAAGAGAAGAGCTAATAGAGTTAAGGAGATCCAACAACTTTAAGCTATCTTGAAGGTACTCTTCCATGGAAGCAAGCTCCCAGCTATTCATTGGGTAGTCAATGTCCACTACGAGCTTGGAAAACGCTTTGTTCATGGTGGGTAGAAGATGTAAACACTGTCGGATCCATGGTAAGGTCAGGATTTCTGAGCTGGGGTTGGACTTCAAGGAGAGCTGAACCAATCCTTTCGATATCTCAGCTTCAAAAGCATGCAAAGGAGCCGAGAAGGCCTTCCTTGCATGGTGGTGGGGGTGGTTCTCCAGCTTGGAAGAAGGCATGAGAGAACGGCTTAACCTCTGTATCAAGAGAACCATGACAAACACAAATTCGAAGAAAATATAAATCTTTTCAGTGAGATAGTTTTATGCTTTAATCGGTTTCTATGGCGGCTTTTATATAAGTTTGGGCGAGTAGTTGCTTGTCAGCGTGTTGCTTTTACAGAAGAAAACCTGCTTGTGCATCCCATCCATTGGAAGACCAGAGAACAGGTGAAGGACTGGTGGGCGGTCAACTGCTCTTATCTAATTGCTTGCTCTTGTACTCAATACACGCTTCCCAGTTCCTCTTTTCTGTCTGCTTGTACTGTGTGTTGGACCCATTCGGGCATCGCTGCCCACGCAACTTCTGAAGGAGTGCTGGAAGCTTGGGTCCTCGTTGTCGTTTGGGTGGTTTCCCAGCAACGCTATTGCCATCTCAGGTTCCAGCAAATTGCTTGGACGCGCCAGGTTTAATCAAATGGGTCGGGTGAGCGGCCCAGCCCATATTCTGGGTTCCTTGAGAAAATTCCAGGTTGGCCTTATTTGGGTGGATAAGCAGTTAATGTTGCATTTGGTTGCACTTTTAATCTATTTGCATTGAGCAAAATTATGGTAATGCAAATGCTATGGGTGCAATTCTGATTTATTTTTGTTTCAAAATTTACCTATTTTTTTGTTTGATTGCAGTGTATAAATAAAGTAAAAGAAGACCTGAAACAGAAAAAACGTAAAATCCAAAACAAAATTAAACGAGAAATTACGTTATTTTCATTTGCATTAGTGAAAATAGAATTGCACTGCGACTAAATGCAGGCACCAAGTTGAACCGCTTTACTTGTTTAGAATTTGAGGCCTCCGACCCAGAACCCGGAGGGCAGGGTGACCTCGGAATGGTTGGCGGTTCGGGTAAAGATGGTCAATTATCAAATTGTTTTTAATACGGTTGCGAGGCTAATGTTGCTTGTTTGATTAGCAACTTGGCTTATTCCTTACACAATTTGACCCTGGTTCTGCACTGCAACGTGAGACGGTGAGAGGGACTTATCTGGTCAATTCAGATTTCAGACTGACCACAACATAAGACAATCCCAAATTTGCCTTCTTAACTCCCCTCGTGGGCTTGTATGCTGTCAAACTCCTTTTTCTTCATCAAAATTAAACGGCAAAGAAGATAAGTTTCACCACGTGGCAAACCAAATCTAGTTTTTTAGTTTAACCATGTGGCAAAATAGACTAGAAAAGAGGGTCGGTAAATCGGTTTGGATACGTGGCAAAAGTTTTGGGTTGAAACTTGACCATGAATTTGGGAACTCACTCACATGAGTACGGGTTTTGAGATTCCCGTCAGCGTACGGAATCAGAGGGAATATTTTGGTCTTGGGGTTGGGGATACAACCGTACAGGGGGGACATTTAGTACACTAGTACTACAGCCCTGGTCCCACAACTTGTCACGGTGCGATAAGAGAAGTTTTAAATGGGTCCCACCAGATAGCTAAGCAAAAAATCAGCTTGAACAGGTGATGCTAATCTGGAGTTTTCTTCAAGCTTCAAAGTTTGAAATGCTACAAAATAGTCTGAAGATCAGACGGCAAAAGATCAACTATAATAACGCAAAACTTTCGGTTTGAAATAGTTCCTAGCAAACCCTCGATATCTTCAGATGTGACACGTGGGCCCAAACTCATTAAAAGGCACCACGATCGGCACAGACCGAAGACGTTTGATGACAAGTTAATAGTTATTTAGATCTCAGTCAAAGCTGAAGCTTTTAAGTTTTGGCTAGATCTTGTATCCGAGATATATATCATACATCACCTGTCTATGGTTTGCCACGTTTCCCACGTTCGGATTTTAGGGGCCCACCATTGGGTAGGCCATTACGTAGAACATCGGTTGGACCAGAAGGATTCAATTACAATTAGACGACTAAGGAGTAAGGACAGAGGGAGGGAGGTCCCCAGTCCCTACTACTCGCCACAGAAATGACACTCCCGTCTCCTCTTGGGAGGGCTGAAGGGCTAAAGCGCAGTGACTTCTGAGTTCTGGCTCCGAGGCTTTCCGAGATGGGACTCATACGGACAGCCTGTTTGGTGAAAATTTCATGGAGCCTGAATCGGCTTTCAGTCATCGGAAGCGTTGCAACTTTTAACCTTTTTTGAATTATAGCTTATTCGAAACGCCGCAAAGCAGAGAATCAGTTTAATTGAATTGCCAGCTCAGCCACTTTCAAACGGGCCCTGGCTGACCAGTGAGAAGACTGAGCTCCGAAGAAGGAGAGCACTCTCGTCAACTCGGAAACGGAAATGAGAAGCTAGCAATGATTTCTTCAGCAATATATAAATAGTCTAACCCGCTTTGTTTTATTTATTTTGCTTACGTAGTGCTGACAGTAACAATACATAAAACACAGTGGGCAAAATAAAACAAAACAAACAAAAATATAATGTAAATCATGCTCAGGCAATAATGAACGTAACGTTTAAATTTATTGCTTCCGTGTGAGAGGGAGAAAAAACAGTCGAATTTTTTCTATACATTCCAAAGAAAAGAAACCCTAATTAATTGCTTTATAGAAACTAAAGCATATCATCCATCTATGGTTGGCATGGAATATCTTGTGGGTCAATGATTCATTATTGACAACATTAGGTTGTCTTGGTATTCTCTTTGAAAGAAACTGAAAACATACATACATATATAGTGGTAATATGTCTGTTTAATCCGAATGATTAAATATGTAAGTCGTGATATATATGTGTATAAATACATATTTATTTATTAATATGTATTCTCCTTGAAAGAAACTGAAAACATATATATATATATATATATATATATATATATATATAGATAAATACACATTTTATTAATAAATAAATATATAATTATATTATATATGAAATATATGCATTATTTTATATTTAAGTATATTTTTTTTTGGCAAATAATAACCGTATAAGACTTCTTCGGAAGTTAATTATGCCCTTCGAAAATTTGCATATTGCAGTTAATGTGCAACCCAGGATTATTATTGGGTCAAACGGGTAAACGATTCAACCATATGGGCCAAACGGTTTTTAACCAATCCCTAGGTTTTAGGAGAATTGGATCAGAAATTCAGAATCATTTGATATAGGTGAGGCCCAAATCCATTTTAGGGTCCTATGGCCAGGCGAAGCCCAAGTTACCAAGTTTGGGAGTTTTTATTAGATAATTGCTTATCCTAATAAGCATGGTTTTTAAAAACGAACCGGTGACTAAACCGGTCAGGGGTCTAGTTATTGATTCAAATGATCCGAAAGTTTGATCTGAACGGCCAGCCCGATTTGACAGAAAAAAAAAATAAAAAAAAAATTGGAAAATGGTCAAAAACGTTCGAATGGTTCATCAGCCGGTTCAGTGGTTTGCTGACCCAAATCAACGGTTTTGGGGGAAAACAGAATCTGTCAGGTGATCGGCTCCCGGTTTTTCCCGTCCAACCATCCGTTCTGGTTTTGAAAACCATAAGTGCTTATAAGTGTTAAGTCAAAAACACTTATTTCAAACAGGAGTAATATAGATATTTTAAAAATGACATAATTGGCTAAGATAGACTAGAATAAGCAATTAAAAATAAAACTCATAATTTTGGCTTTTTAAAAAGGACTAATTTTTGAAAATAGACCATGGTTTTCAAAATCGGATCAGAAAAACCAAGAACCGGTCACCTGACCGGTTCTGTTTTCCTCCAAAACCACTTGTTTTCTCAAAACCATTGATTTGGGTCAGCAAACCGTTGAACCAGCCGATTAACCATTCAAACGGTTTTGACCGTTTTCCAATTTTTTTTTAATTTTTCAATTTTTTTTTTTAATTTTTTTGTCACAACGATCGACCCGTTCGAACGGATAACCAGATTGGGCTTATTTCCCGTACGTATACAAGAGCTTATTAATGTAGTTTTGGTCTTCCTATAGATGGAATATATAATGAAATACTCGTTCACACAGAGAGATGGAGGGATGATAATAAACCAAAAGGTCCTAGTCAATGAGATACCTCCCTCATAGAGTCATAGTCATTAGGATGAGTTCCCCGTTCAAGTGGGATAAGGAGATTGATTGCGTCAATGTGTTGATCATTGCGTACTAGTCTATTCATCTTTTAAAACCTTTTGGTTGCATCACCGCCCTTTGATTTGGTCATTTCGAAATATCCAAGTTGAGGTCAACTTTTAGGTCATTACCTGTTGGGCTGTTATGGATATGCGTGAATTCCCCTCTCCTTTATCCACTTCTCCCTTCTTATTTTTTTTAGCCCTGTTTGGTTCGCAGGAATAGAGGGCTGGAATCGGAATTGAAATGGATTATTCCCATTCCAAATGGACCCTTAGTTTCTTTCCTACTGGAGATCCAGCAATTGATCCTGGTCCCTGCAGAGCACATCTGGATTGAAACCAAGATTAGCAGACCCACTAAGGTGAATAGGTGATGTTCAACAAAGCATAACCAACNAAGATTAGCAGACCCACTAAGGTGAATAGGTGATGTTCAACAAAGCATAACCAACCATGTTGTCGAACACCTCCTTATCGTCAGTGATCTTTGTGTTGGGCATTTGAAAAATTTTATGTTTATTTTTTTAACATAGTCATTTTCTATTGGGCTTTATAACTCAATTTAAGAGTAAAATTGATTGAAAATATGTAAAAATTTTCCTATATATATATATATATATATATATAGGAAAATTTATGATACCAAAAAGATATGGTATCAGAACAGATTTGACCAATCAAAGCACCCTCATGAATTTGACAGACACCATCTGATCAGTCACCTCTCTTATGATACCGGTTGATTGGCCATAATTTTTTCTGGTACCATATTTTTCCAGTATGATAGTCGAACCCATTACCCATGCATATATATTAATATATGATTAGAAAAAATGGTATCGTCATATAAATATAACAAATATATTTATTATATTTGCAAATATGTCTATAAACATTTATACACAAAAACTTGTATTTGGTGTGGTTGGGCTTAGCTAATTGCACTCCAACTAGAATCC